AATTTACTGTACTTTGGCAACAGCTTTGAGAAAAAATTTACAATCAAAAAAATTTGCGCAATCATGTGATTTCCAGAAAGGAAAGACTGGACGCGTGATTATTGACGATCATTCAATGAACGGGAAAAATCGGCTATAATAATTGACGATCCATGAATAAATGAGAGAGTCATACATAGAGAAAAATTGACGCAAAATGACTAATTAAATACCTTTGCATGTACTATACTTTTATTCCACTTAAGGTTGCTTGCTAAAACCTCTTTGACTGTCAAATCTCTTTCAAAACTCGAACAATTAGTATATACACAAAACCCCTGATTTCTGGAGGAGTTTTGCCCACAATCTTAATTCCCACTACATAATTTTTTTTTAATGTACAAATAAAACATATCCCAAAGAATATATAAATAATTTTTTTATTGCCTTTAATCAAGTGAAGAAAAATAGATATTCTTTGGTACCTGTTGATTTAGAGAATTTTCATATATATTTTTACATGTAATGTTTGTCATTTATTACATTAAATATTGGATTCTAATTAGTAATTAAGAATACCGGCTGCAACTTTTGATGATGGTTGCTACCATCTTTGCATCATATAAAAATGATTGCAACCACCTTTATGACCATTTTGTTTCCTTTTTTTGGTTGCAACATGGAACACTATTAGTAATTACAATCATAAAAAAGAAAAAAACAAGACTTTATTCTTGGAGGTAGGTGGTTTACTCAACTTGTTTATCAAATATATTCAGACTGATTACCTCCATCATCTTGCATATAAAAAGTACATTGTTAAAATAAAGCATTTATTTTTATTATTGTTGTTAAAATTACAATTATATATAAATAAAAAAAACATTTTTCAAGGCTTTAAGGTAAGTTAAAAACATTTATTATACATAATATTTAATTTTTTCATTAAATAACAATTTTTAATATATATGTGAAAGATAATTTTACATTAATTAGAGCCAGTGCTAGCAACTTCAGCTGCTTGTTTTTTGTGATGATGGTTAAATTGAGATATCCACGATTTAATTTGTTGGAGAGTGGGAAGATTATCAGCTTTTTATTTCATTGTTTTCAGCATGTTTTTCAAGTTGTTTCAACATATCTTCTGGTGAGAATTTATTACTTTTCTCTATATTACCAGCCAGGAACATTTCTTTCAATTTTTCAATTACATTTAAATTTAATCTTTTACCACATTTTTTCCCAAATTTTTGTTTACTCCTTAGGGCAAATCCAGGTATTAAATTTCTATGCAATAAATCTTTTAAGTCATTATTTGAAAATAACGTAATATTTATTGGCTCAAAATTAGTAAAATGATTCAAAAATTCAAAACCTATGAAAATTTTAAAACTCATCAAAATTCAAACTCATTTCATGCATTGAATTTAAAACTTGTGTCAAAGTTCAAACTTGTACACAGTGTATCTCGGTTTAGCAGATAAGTTCGTTCCAAAAAAATTATCCGCTAAATCGAGATATCCGCAAAACCGAGATATGATGAAACAATCACGTGATACGTTGTACAATAATACTAATACTAATATTTATTTATCACAATAAAATAAATAATGAATAATACATACGACAAATAAAATATACATGGTAACAATAATAAGTATAATAATAAATAATTTATTCATTCATAAAATAATCCTCCATCCTTGTTTGTACTTTTTCTTGAAAACTTTTATGAGAAATTTCCCTTTTCAATTTATTGACACTTTTAATTATTTGAAAATCAATTTCTAAATTTTTTTGTTGAACATATTTAAGTGCCACTTCCAAACCTTTTATGGCTTCTGTACCAGTAACTATTGGTTCAGGTTCGTCTGTTTCATTGTCATCTTCATTCTCTGATCGCTGTTTTACAATTTTCACAATCTCATCATCTGTCATTTCTTCTTGAACAACAAGATTTTGATCAATGGTGATAAATTCATCAGCATTTAGATGATCTGTAAAGGGGAGTTCATTGATTAAATCATTTATTTCATTTATTTCCGATTCTTGGTTTGAATCTTCAGCTACTGAACTATTATAATTAATAATTTTAGTTTTATTCCAGCTACTTTTAATTGTTTCAACTGTTACTTGATTCCAAGCATTAGATATGAAATTAATAGCATCGAAAATATTTATATCTGGTACTTGATCATTCTCTGATTCTTGGTAGGCCTTAATTCTATTTTGACAAAGGATTTTTCTGTATTTTGACTGCAAAGATAAAAAATTTTAAAATTAATGTGTTAGATAGAACTATTAATAAAATTTTGTTAATTACCTTTAAACTATAGATTATTCCCTGATCTAGAGGTTGCAGGATAGATGTAGTATTAGGAGGGAAAAAATGAACTCGTATATTAGATAAAGAAGGTATATTTTCGGTATTATGAGAACTTGCATTATCCAAGAGCAAGATTATGTTTCTATTCTTTTGAACCATTATACTATTGAATCTTTCTAAATAATGTTTAAAAATGCTTCTTTGCATCCATGCTTTAGCATTCCAGTAATACCATACTGGAAGTGTATTTTTGGAAATGCCTCTCAAAGGTCGTGGGTTTTCGTATTTATGGATAAAAAGCACAGGTAGCTTTTCTCCAGTCAAACTGCAAGTAAGCATAGCAGTTATACGATCTTTAGGACGTTTTTTTCCTAAGGTTGGTGCATGGGCAATTGTTTTATTAGGCTCTAGTCTCCAGTATATTGCAGTTTCGTCACAATTCCATATATCTTCTGGGTCATATTCTTGTAGGACTTCTTGAAGTTCGTTTTGCATGCTAAAATAATCCTCCATCCTTGTTTGTACTTTTTCTTGAAAACTTTTATGAGAAATTTCCCTTTTCAATTTATTGACACTTTTAATTATTTGAAAATCAATTTCTAAATTTTTTTGTTGAACATATTTAAGTGCCACTTCCAAACCTTTTATGGCTTCTGTACCAGTAACTATTGGTTCAGGTTCGTCTGTTTCATTGTCATCTTCATTCTCTGATCGCTGTTTTACAATTTTCACAATCTCATCATCTGTCATTTCTTCTTGAACAACAAGATTTTGATCAATGGTGATAAATTCATCAGCATTTAGATGATCTGTAAAGGGGAGTTCATTGATTAAATCATTTATTTCATTTATTTCCGATTCTTGGTTTGAATCTTCAGCTACTGAACTATTATAATTAATAATTTTAGTTTTATTCCAGCTACTTTTAATTGTTTCAACTGTTACTTGATTCCAAGCATTAGATATGAAATTAATAGCATCGAAAATATTTATATCTGGTACTTGATCATTCTCTGATTCTTGGTAGGCCTTAATTCTATTTTGACAAAGGATTTTTCTGTATTTTGACTGCAAAGATAAAAAATTTTAAAATTAATGTGTTAGATAGAACTATTAATAAAATTTTGTTAATTACCTTTAAACTATAGATTATTCCCTGATCTAAAGGTTGCAGGATAGATGTAGTATTAGGAGGGAAAAAATGAACTCGTATATTAGATAAAGAAGGTATATTTTCGGTATTATGAGAGCTTGCATTATCCAAGAGCAAGATTATGTTTCTATTCTTTTGAACCATTATACTATTGAATCTTTCTAAATAATGTTTAAAAATGCTTCTTTGCATCCATGCTTTAGCATTCCAGTAATACCATACTGGAAGTGTATTTTTGGAAATGCCTCTCAAAGGTCGTGGGTTTTCGTATTTATGGATAAAAAGCACAGGTAGCTTTTCTCCAGTCAAACTGCAAGTAAGCATAGCAGTTATACGATCTTTAGGACGTTTTTTTCCTAAGGTTGGTGCATGGGCAATTGTTTTATTAGGCTCTAGTCTCCAGTATATTGCAGTTTCGTCACAATTCCATATATCTTCTGGGTCATATTCTTGTAGGACTTCTTGAAGTTCGTTTTGCATGCTAGAAATTTCATTGATAGGAGCACTCAATGATTCACCCCTCTTTTTAAAACTATGCAAATTATTTCTATTTTTAAATTTTTCTAGCCACCCTAAAGAAGCATTGAAATTATTAATTTCGAAATGTCTAGCAAACTCTATGGCTTTTTCTTGCATAATGGAACCACTTAATGTTAAATTTCTTGCTAAAAGTTGGTCAACCCAGATTCTCATTGCTTCTTCAACATCAGGGTAATCAGATTTTTTATTTCTATACAGATTAACATTACTTGGGGAACTTTCGTCATAATTTAACCATTGAGAAGACTGTCTCAATATATCCGAAACAGATTGTACAGATATCCCATATTCTTGGGCCAAGTCAATGCCTTTAATATTTGGATTATCTCTTTTTTTTTCACATAGTTCTCTTTTTTGTATTTTAGTCAATATCTTTCTTTTCTATATGATTTTAAAATGAGAATCAATTAATTTTGATGAATTTTATTTAACAAATATTTGATTAATTTATTTACTTTAGGCGATTGATTTAGATTTTCTCCTGGTCTGTTTGTTTGTGAAGACATTTTTAATTTTGTTATTACAAGGTTTTTTGATTTTTGTTACAAGCAATTGGAATACCACTCCTTTATATAAGTGATTTATTCATATTATTTATTACAAATCGGTTTTATTACAAATATATCATGAAAATTTTCTGACTTTATACATAAACCCTATTACATCACAAAAATTTCCTGATGTTATGTTTATTATAACTATTTGGTTATAAAGACACTTTCAATTTCTTAAATAAAAACATCAAATATTACAAATCATTAGGAAACTGAGACATCATATTATATTACATCAGAGAAACTTCCTGATATCATTATTATATCAATAATTTTGATCTGTTTGGTTATGAAGAGATATTTTTAGTTTATTACAAATCTATCAAAAAATTTACATCATACGTTTTATTTTCCAATTTAGAATAAATTCGAATTTCATCATTAATTATGTTTGGTGCCTGTATTAGTTAATGATCAACATTATCCGTTATATCGAGATATTTTTATTATGGTCGAACATAGCATAATGGACACTCGTTTTATCACTTTGTGACAAAATCGATTGTTGATCTTTTTTATGTTGTGAAACATGTGATT